CAGAAGGCGAATTGCCCTGCTACAATCTGTAAAGAATGCTGCCGCCAGGCTGCTCTTTTCTTACACCTGTTGCTCCTCCCATACCTCGCCCCTCTGTCAATCCTTACACTGGCTTCCTGTATCCCATAGGTGGCAATTCAAAATACTAACCCTTACCTATAAAACTCTAAACAACTCTAGCCCCTGTTATATGTCTTCACTGATTTGTAGATATGCCACTTCTTGGTCTCTTTGCTCTGCTAGTAACCTTCTCTGTCCGCTGCTTGCACCCTTACTGCTAAATTGCGATTACAGGACCTTTCCTTTGCCTACCCCATCTGACTCTCCCCTAGTCGTCACTCGTTTAAGAAGTCTCTCAAAACCCATCTGTTCAGAAAAGCTTGTGGCCTTCCAGAGTAACTTCTATGTCACAAATCTGTCTTCAGCTCTCTCCTAAAGAGCCGAACTCCACTCCACCTCCAGTTCTGCTACTCTCCCACCTTGTTTGGTTGCTGCCCTATTGTGTTTTTATACCTCACCTCCTCTTGATTGTAAGCTAGTTTTAGCATAGTCCTCATCTACCTATTGTTTCTGTACCATTTTGTAAATATCTCATTTATTGTTAAATTTGCCTCCTTTCATAATATTGTAAAGTGCTGCTGTGGAATAAGTTGATGCTATATACATACCAATAATAATAATCTCAGCTAAGGAGGCATGGTGGGGGCAGAGCCAGCCCCAGCAGACTTGTGCAACTCTGGTATAAAGTTAAGATTTATACTTATTTCTGACCCTATAGTGTTGCTTTAATAAAGCGGATTTGGTGTACAGATCATGCCCCTGTAGTTTCACTGCGGCAGTCTCTACAATTTAAGAGTGAAATAACTGTTGTTTCTCTTTATGTGGCCTAGGCCAACCCTCCCCTTACTGTTACGCAAACAGCTTTCTAACACACTTCCTAAAAAAAAAAGTCAATATTTTCTAGCTTCCCTTATTGTACAGTGTGTGTTTAATTTAGAATTTCCTACTAATATCCTGCTAGAGCCATCAACAGCCTCCATTGCCTTTCAATTCCTTGTTTGGTTTGGCCTGGGGAGCATATATTGGGAGCATATAGCATATACAGATATGAACCAAAATGTTGCTGCATGCTTGCACAAATATTTAAGTGCAGCAAACTGTCATAATTAACTGACCTACTCTAGTGTAATATTATAATAACATTCGATTGGACTGCGTGTGTGTGATAAAACCTCATATTTTTTATAATACATTAAATATTTTTTATACCACATATTACCTGAACCGGCCAATCAGTGATCTTCTCCAGTAAAATGAGGAGTAGCTGTCTCAAATCTTCCTTGGGTTCATTTTTCAGGTTAACATCAAGGCTGATTCTGCACAGTAGCGTAATTAAGATGAGAAGCTCCTGGTCTGACAAACCATGGGGGCATTCCAATGCACACAATGTCAGGAACTGAGTAGGAAATGAAAAAGAGGAGGAGAAAGCCATAAACCCTAGGGACATATGCGTCACATAACTAATTTTATAAATATTCTCAAGGCTTCAGGAGATGACAGGGGCTAGAGTTTACCATAGAAAGGGTGTTTCCGTCATTGGGTGATCCTCATTTCTAGAATAAGGAAAGTGTCAAGACAGGGTTTCCTCCTATTATTATGTCTCAGGAAGGCACATTTCCAGTCAGCACTTCTCAAAATAAATACCTTCTTGCAAGCAATGATCACTTTTGTTTCCATTAGAGATGCAGGTGGGCAGAATTCCCCATAGCTTGTGTAACAAAATCCTAAATATCTTTATTACAACATATCTTTCAGAAATTTCAAACTATCACATGAGATATTTTTTAATTCATTGAAATATCCTGGTTTTCAACAACTTTGACACTAGTCAACAATAACTTTATCTAATGAATTAATACATTCTAATACATTAATACATTCTAGCAATCAACATAAGGAGCCTAATAGCACTTAACAAAGGCTTCATTTAATTTCCTGTTACATTTATTTTCATATTAAACCTACATAGACTAGATTATTTTTTGAGTGTTTGTATTTTTAATTGTTTTTTTAGTTCTATTTTTAATTGACTTATCAGTCATGAAGTAAAACTTGAAATGAGCAGTCCCAGATTCGCCCCTGTAACTTAAAAAAACTCCCATAAAACCTGACAATGGGGTTATTTTTTGTACTCATGGGACATCACAAAATTTTAATATGTGTGCTTGCTCAGCAAACCAATTTGGCAAAATTCAGTATGTTAAAGCTAAAATGGACAAGCCCCATATTTGACCCAGTACTTTCCATAACCACATAAAACCTGTACACAACAGGAGGTATTATACTCTTGAGACACCGCTAAACAGAAATATGGATGTTTCATTGCAGTAAAACATAAAATAATTGTGATATAAATAAACTGCAATGTTTGTGCGGGGAAAAAAAATATGAACACTATAGTTGGCAAGGTTTGTGTCTGCTAGTAAAGATTGGACATACCCATTTAGAATAAACTCTAGCTTTCTACTTTTGCAAATGGTATGCCATGAAGGGGGTTATTTTCTTTCCTGGACTGCCATACTGTCTGAAAAGCCAGTAAACCAATTTAGCAAAATGAAATTTGCAAAACCTGAAAATTGGCAATCCTTATATTCGGCCCAGTAACTGACAAAAAACAACCATAAAATCTGTACATGTACTTGTAGGACTTTGAAAATACAAATATGTGTTTTTTACTGCAGTTTTACTGCAGTGATATTTGCAGTAAAAAAGTGCCATGCTGAACTTGTAAAGTTTTTTTTTTTTTAAATTTCTGACACTTATGAAGATTGCATTCATAGAAATTATGATGCCCCATTTGTCATGAACAAAATGTTTCATATAATAAGTGTTGGTGCACCTAATGTGAAAGTGGTACATTATGGCTAAACAAACAACCCCCCCTTCCATCTCTTTCCCATCATTTGAAAATTCATTTGATTCGCCTTTTCAAACCCTTCTCTGCTAACATTGCTGTTATTTATTGCACCCCTTTGACTTAACTGCTACAGGTCCAGGCTGAAACAAAAGAAAAGTGGAAAACAAACAGGTGTGGCAACATAAAACAAACATTTAAAGGAAACCTGGAGACTGGGAATCCCGGGATGGATTACAGGAATGAACCCAGAAATCCCAGCAATAAAGAAAACCAGACATAGACTAGAAAACCAGAAAAAAACAGACAAAGACAGCAAAAAGAGTACTGGATACCAGAAGCCAAAGCCAGACATCCCCGCAGAACATGGCATGATGTGACACCTTCTTCAAACTCTTCAATCAATGTCTCTGTGACTCTATCCTCTCGTGGTTTTCTTCTTATCTCTCCCAACGCTCATTCAGTGTCTCCTTTTCTAATGATACCTCCTCCCCTTGTCCTGTCTCGTTTGGAGTCCCCCAAGGCTCTGTCCTTGGCCCGCTTCTATTTTCTTTCTGAAACGCAGTCTCTCTAAAACGGAGCTTCTTGTCTTTCCTCCTCCTAATACTGATCCTCCTCTTTCGCTCTCCCTTCAAGTTAGTGGTATCCACTTAGGTCCTTGCAAGCGCGCTGTCTTGGCGTCATACTTAATTCTGGCCTCACCTTTGAGCCTCACATCCAATATGTTGCCAAATCCTGTAGATTCCACCTTAAAACATTTGCCTGCATCGGCCCCCTTCTTGCGCAAGACACACTCAAGGAGCTTGTCAATGCTCTAGTAATTTCCCACATGGATTATTGTAACCCTCTCCTAATTGGTCTTCCCAAAAGCTGTTTTGCCCGCTACAGTCTGTAATGAATGCTGCCGCCAGACTGATTTTCCTCTCTACTCACACCTCACCCCTCTTTCAGTCCTTACATTAGCTTCCTGTATCCTATAGAAGTCAATTCAAAGTCCTAACCCAAACCTATAAAGTACTGAACAATTCTAGCCTCTCCTATATGACCTTCTCCTGTCCGTTGCTCGCACCCGCACGGCCAACTCATGCATGCAGGAGTTCTCGCGGGTGGCTCCATTCCTGTGGAATAGCCTGCCTACTGCCATAGTCTTGCATCTTTTAAGAAAAGCCTTAAAACCCATCTCTTTAGGAAAGCGTATGGCCCCCCAGAGTAACCTCTACCTTACATACTTGTCTCTTGCTCTCTCCTAAAGGGCAGTACTCTACTCTCTCCTCCAGCTCTGTTTCACTCCCTGTTTCGATTGTTATTTCCTGTCCTTCTGTGTTTTATACCCCACCTCCTATAGACTAAGTTTGAGCAGGGTCCTCTTCAACCTATCGTTCCAGTAAGTTTTCTTGTAATAGTCCTATTTATAGCTAAATTCCCCCTCTCATAATATTGTAAAGTGCTGCAGAATCTGTTGGCGCTATATAAATGGCAATAATAACAATAATAATAATAATATAGCTCAAATGTTAAGCAGGAATACTCCATATACACATACCTTCATGATATTATTGAGGTTGGTCACCAACAAATGTGAATACATGGAGTTGCGAGAGTACTTTTTCTGATGAAGCAGGGCATATCTAAAGGCAAAGTGTGATAATAAGAATGTAATTCACAGATATCTATACTTTTATTTAGCATTCTCTGCTATAAGTTATAAAAGCAACTATAAAAACAACTATAAAAACTATAGTTTTACCACAAAATATATTATTTTGATTATTCAATTTTTTTAAAATATATTTTGTGGTGTTTTTGTTTTTTTATTATTTTTTTTTAGATTTTTCTTCTTGTTTTAGTCCCCTCTTTTCCCCTTTAATATATATTATATTTTTAATTCTGATATTAGAGATATATATATATTGCCTTTTTGTCCCTGCACACACTCTACCCATTATTTCAAATGCCAGGTGCATTCCAGCCAAAGTCAAATATCATACAAATTATTAAATGAAGGCTTGCACTCACAGTCTTTTTCTTGTAAAAAGTTTTTCTTCCTTTATTCCATATTCTTTAAAACATACTGTCTGTTACATTCAACGTTTCAGCCACCATCCGTGGCTTTCACTGAACTGATCCTGATGAAAGCCACGGATGGTGGCTGAAACGTTGAATGTAACAGACAGTATGTTTTAAAGAATATGGAATAAAGGAAGAAAAACTTTTTACAAGAAAAAGACCGTGAGTGCAAGCCTTCATTTAATAATTTATATATATATCTATATATATATATATTCACTATAAATCACTGTCACTATTGTTATACCTGTATTTTTTATTTCATTGTCATTTATTTTTATTCTTCTCTTGTATTAGCCTTTTATATATATGTATTAGCCTTTTATATATATGTATATATATGTATATAGATTGTAAATGTTCCTAGCTGTGTACATATACAATCCCCCTCTTTTTTAGAAAATCAAAATCGATATGTTTATATAGACATGCTCATATATGCATAAAGTCATTTATGTTCCATCAATATGACATACATTGATACACAATCTCTATTTTTCAGCTGTTATTTTATATTTCATAATTCAATAAAAATATAAAAATATCTCCTTTAGACCACTAAATAATTGGTATACCTATTCAAACATCCATAAACAAATGCAATCTCCATTTATATAAAAAAAAAAATTCAGGATGCTGGTTATTAAATTATTAGTATGCACTACTTGATTTTATATCAAGACCAATTTGACACTATGTATATGTAGTAGGTATAATAATTCTTCAATAGATTTAAGTTATACTTTTTTTCCAACCCATTTCTCACAGATTAATGAATGCTTTGTTATGTGTTACAATACTTGGAACGCAACGCACGCCATTTTGACGTTACGTGCGTTCCACATATACATCCTAGTGTGACATGTGCATTCCGCAGTGGCACACAAAAGCTTGCCGATTGATATGCATATTAGCTTGCCGCGTCACTTCCGGTATGATGCTGTGCGATCCGCGAAACCGGAAATAGGACACATCAGGTAGTAATCTTCAATCAAGCCCACCCCATATATACACAAGACACGAAGAGGACCTTCCCACACTTTTGAAAAAGCCTTTTGGACAGGTGAAATGCGTCAAGTGGGAGTCTTATCTTATTTTAATTACTTTTATTGTTTATATGTTCTTTATAATAAATTGTTACTTTTTTTGTACTATTTGTTTTTATGGCTTGTTACCGGATACCATCCATATCCTAAGCAGGGGGTGGGTTATACCACCCATGCTGTTCCAACTAGAGCAAGTTGTTACGCTACTTGGGGTGATTTGGATTGGAACTCAACTGCAGCTTGTAAACTCCCTAAATTACAATAGTGAAGAAATGGAGAATCTTTAAAGTATCAATACTGTAGCTTTAAGAAAAGAGAGAATTGCTGGTAACTTGATTCAAACGAAGTTTTAATAAGTGTTAAACTTAAATGAATTGCATTTAGGCAATAATCCAATAAGAGGAAGTGCAAGTAATCAACACAAAGTTCATTCATAAGTATTTCCTCAGAGAAGCATTAAGTAACATTCTTTAAGTTCATGAGAATAATCTTCAATAGAAACAATAAGCAAGTAGCTAAGAATATTTGCAGAGCGAGAACAGTTCATAGTGAATAAGCATGATGGGAGTTATCCTCCATATAATTAGTAGCTTGAAGCATTGAGTGTCTTTGCAAAGCAAGAAACATTTCATAGTGAATAAACATGATGGGAGTTGTCCTCCATATAATTAGTAGCTTGTAGCAATGAAGATTTGAGTAAGCAAGCATTAGTTCATTATTAAATGATACTGTAGACAAATAGCTGAAAGATATACTTAAGGTTAATATGTGTAGTCCTCCAATAGTTCAGAGATATGGTCCACTTGTAAAGTAGCAAAGTATCCGTTCTTCAGTAATCCTTTATGGCATGCAGCAATCCTTGCATTGGCTCAAAGGCTGGAACGGCTTGTCTGAGCTTGTGGAGAGGTAAGTCTGGTGGAAGTAGCTCCCAGTAGCTGAGCCCGTGGAGCTCGCAGAGGCAGCTCACACATTAGCTCACACACAATCACCAAGCACCCTCTCTCTGGCCCAGTCTCCCTAAATACCGTCAGAGCTGTGTCAGAGGGGGGCGGGGTCCGGCTCCTCACAGCTGAGTGCCGAACCCAGAAGTGTTACTCCATGACACAAGTCTTGCTCTAAAAAATTCAATTACATTTCTTTTTTTTTTATTTGATATACCAGTACTTACTGCACCATTGGAGTTCTTTTCTGCTCTTTTACCCCCATATATACTACGTATATCTGCATTTGCATCTGGAGGATCAACACTACTCCAACAACCATATATCCCTAGTCGGGAATTGTACCGTCCATGCGCAATACAGCAGAGCTCTAAATAGCTCTATTAAATGTGAGTGGTTTTCTGATAGCTACTGAATAGAGGAGGGGAAGAGTCTGCGCTAACTCAAAAGAGCAGCAACCCTAAAAGGGAATCCCTCACGAAACCCTTTGGAAACAAGAAGGTACAAAAAAAAAAGAGAGGAGTTAAGGGCTGCGCTTTGACTAAAATGAATAAAAGGGATAAAAACAATTAAAGTTTATCCGAATAAAAAATATAAATTAAAACAGTCTCACTGGTATGTAGTAATATAATATAAGTCCTCAAGTGTCGCTCCGTCCTTATGATGATGGGTAGTCCATATATGTGAAGACAAAAATAAGAGAAAAAAGCTTCCAATGGTGAAATATTGTATGTCCAAAATATGGTATATATTCAAAGGAAAGGTATTTCACTCACATTTGTTGGAGCTTTTAACCAGCTCTAGGAGAAGAGGCACTTAGTAGTTTAATCCCCACTATCGGATATACTTAAACGGTTGGTCCGTCCGTCCGGCTTGAGATTTCTTTGATGTAGGTTAGGACTTACTCGGACGTGCGTATTCTTTATGCTGGGGAGATAGGTCCGCCTCTCCGATATTGGATAGTGGATGTCCACGAGATATATAAAACAGCAGATAGTGCTCTTAGTATGAACAACACATTAATAAGTTAAAATAAGTTATACTTACAAAAATAGAGCAGACAGGTACTGCTCTATTGCCACAGCACTGGCGGAATTATCCCCACCTCAGGATTTCTTTGGACGGGATACACTTCAGTAGTAGAAAATGTAATATTAAAAGTATAATATAAAATAAAATAAAAAAATGATACAGTAGTTTTAAAAAATTTTTTGTAAAAATGCCAGGGGTTAAGAAATAAATAAAAAGAGTATATAGTACAATAAAAATAAGTATAAAGTGGGTCCTATAATGAAGGGTAACCAAAAATAACTTTTATTGACTAAAATACACTTATTACAACCATTTACGCGTTTCACCTTTAAGGTTTTCTCAAAATGGTAAAAGAACAGTACACCTGGCAAGGAACTGAATATATAGGTTTACAGAGGTTTAAAAATGGCGCCAAATTGTAATGCACCAATCACAAACAAGATTAAAAGCAAAATTTTAAATTCATTTCAAAGTAACATTACAACATTATTAACACATTGGTGTAAGCCTAATTAGGCTTAGGGGATATACATTTTATAAAAACGAAGCTTTAGAGTGGAGTTATTAACAGTTGGTCCCGATCACGTGATCGGGACGCCGCGCGCATGCGCAGATCATTTTTGGCAACTCACTTCCTGGTTTGAACGGTCACTGGGCACTTCTACAGTAATATATAAACGGGGAATCTTGTTTTATAGTTAAAAGAGACCCCATATTTGTAAAAAATACATTTCTTATTTTTACCAACAATACACAGTAATACATATACTTTTAGAAGGCAAGAAACACCACTTAAGGATATTGATAAGAATGAATAAAAATAATGATAAAGACATTAATATTTTATAAGGAATGGTTTTTAAAAGCACTCAACTAAAACTGAAAGTGAAATTAATAATAGGTATAAGAGAGTATAAAGGGATATAATAAAAAAAAAATAGAATAAAAAAAGGAAAGTAAAAATAATGGTTATAAAAGGTTGTTTGTGGGGAGGAGATGTAATTTAAAGGGACCTAATTATAAAAAATTGTGCAGGTCAAAATCTGCATTAAGCCCATTTGGTAATAGGGTCTGTAACTTATAAACCCATTCCATCTCTGTTTTACCTAAAATATTTTTTATATCTCCTCCTCTCCATGGTAAAGAGCATTTCTTTATTCCCATATATTTTAACATTTTGGGATCTTTATTGTGAATTAAAAAAATGTTTTGATAGAGAGTGATTTGAAAAACCATTTTTATATTCCTACAATGCTCACCTAATCGTATTTTCAGACATCTAGTGGTCATCCCAACGTATTGGAAGCCACACGGGCATTCCAATAAATAGATGATTGGTGCATTACAATTTGACGCCATTTTTAAACCTCTGTAAACCTATATATTCAGTTCCTTGCCAGGTGTACTGTTCTTTTATCATTTTGAGAAAACTTTAAAGGTGAAACGCGTAAATGGTTGTAATAAGTGTATTTTAGTCAATAAAAGTTATTTTTGGTTACCCTTCATTATAGGACCCACTTTATACTTATTTTTATTGTACTATATACGCTTTTTATTTATTTCTTAACCCCTGGCATTTTTACAAAAAAATTTTTAAAACTACTGTATAATTTTTTTATTTTATTTTATATTATACTTTTAATATTACATTTTCTACTACTGAAGTGTATCCCGTCCAAAGAAATCCTGAGGTGGGGATAATTCCACCAGTGCTGTGGCAATAGAGCAGTACCTGTATGCTTTTTTTTTGTAAGTATAACTTATTTTAACTTATTACTGTGTTGTTCATACTGAGAGCACTATCTGCTGTTTTATATATCTCGTGGACATCCACTATCCAATATCGGAGAGGCGGACCTATTTCCCCAGCATAAAGAATACGGACATCCGAGTAAGTCCTAACCTACATCAAAGAAATCTCAAGCCGGACGGACGGACCAACCGTTTAAGTATATCAGATAGTGGGGATTAAACCACTAAGTGCCTCTTCTCCTAGAGCTGGTTAAAAGCTCCAACAAATGTGAGTGAAATACCTTTCCTTTGAATATATACCATATTTTGGACATACAATAT